CATCAGGCCCCCGGGCCTTAGGTTGCCTACCCCTGGTTTAGGCCTTTAGTTTTATGGTAATAGAACAGGGGTAGGCAACCTTTCCCCTTTAAGGGCCGAGGGACTTCATCCCCCAGAAGCCTCAGCCATGTCGGCCAATAGTCCCATGTTGGCCAATAGCTCCTGGGATTCTGGAAGCTGAAGTCCCTTGGCCCTTAAAGGGGAAAGGTTGCCTACCCTTGTAATAGAAGGCTCCATCAAAGCAGAAGCACAGGTTGAAATGATCCAGGTGAACAAGGAAGAGATGGAATGGTGATTTTATATCACATACCACCAGGCCTAAATCACAAATCATTGTAACAGCCACATCAAAAGATACATACCTGACTGAGCAGGGAGCAGGGTCAATGGCATCATTGACTGATTATCTTTTTGGGAAATAAAGATTGTGTATAAGATTGTATTCTCAGCACTGACAGATGAAAGTTAGGGAGAGGGGCTTTAGCATGAAGGTAACCAGGTTAGTTCTCGGTGCAAAGGGCTGTTTTGGGGGCAAGGAAGGGGAGGGGCAGCCACACGGTGGGTGCCCTAACCCCTTCCCGAAGGCACCATTGGAGCGCCGGCCCCTCTGCACGGCCGGCACTCCGACGATGCCTTCCTGCAGCAGCATCCGCACACGCTGCAGTGGAAGAGTTGCCGAAGGTGCGCCGGCAGCCTTTTGTGGCGCACCTTTGGCGACTTGTGGAAGGAGCGCTATTTTAGCACTCCTTCCAGGGGAGGCGAAGCTGTGCTGCGGGGCCGAGGTGTGGGGATACCTCAGCCCTGCGGCGCAGCTTCCCGGGGCGGCCCAGGGCTGCCCGTCTGCTTCCCCCCTAAGATATCCTTTCCACCTATAAATTCCTTAGCAAGTTTTGCCCTCACAATATCATGTTGGATAGTAGTGGACCTAGAGTTAGGTGCAATGGAAAAGGCATGCTTACCAGAATAAAGAATTCTTAATCCATTTGTGAAGCCATCCAAAATGTAACTGGCACTGGCCTGCTTTGGCTATCAAAGATGCCCACACTTGCTCTAGGATGATCGGATTGGGCAGAAATTCTCTTCCAGTGTCAGAAATCTTTTACAACATAGATCTGCTGGGAAAACAATATGATGGCACAACTGCTCTGCTGGCTAAGATCTTTTCACAGAATAGAAAAGGCAGAGAATAAGCCATGTTATACTTGATCCAAAGTGCTTAAAGCCCAGTTCCATATTTTCTTAACTCAGGCTGCATCTGCATTGCAGAAATAATGCAGTCTGACACCACTTTAACTACCCAGACTCCATCCTATGGCTAAATATCTCACAAAACTACAAATCCTCAAATTCCATAGCATGGAACCATTGCAGTTAAAGCAATATCAAACTGCATTATAACTGCAGAGCAGATGCGGCCTTACAGTCAATCCCACTGAACTTGAATATTTATTTCTCTCTCTCTCTCTCTGTGTGTGTGTGTGTGTGTGTGTGTGTGTGTATATATATATATGATAGTATATGTGTGTAGTCTTGTGTAGAGTTATGTTTACACAGTTTGTTGTATTGATTTTGTGATTGTAGAGTACATTCACATATTGGAAAATGTATTGTGAATGGCCATAGAAGTGTCCATTTTGCTAGGAACACCTTTCAAGAGACCAACATATTTACACTTCTGTTATGTTCCCATTGTGGGAGAAATGTGAGATATAGATCTTTGAAATAATAATAATAATAATAATAATAATAATAATAATAATAATAATAATAATTTCCCTAGTACACAGCAGTAATGTTCTTACCGACTTTTGATTTGATTTAATTTAATACTATCTTCACTGAGTGTGTGATTAGGAAGCAGGTCAAAGGAGGCGAAGAAGTGGTGGGGTGAGGGAAGAGATGAATTGGGCCAGATCCAAACCTCTTCTGCTTCAAGGATGCAGCCAGAATGCCAGTACAAAAACTAGGACAGAATATGAGTAGGCCAACATTCTAAGGAGAACCAGTGTGGTATAGTGGTTTGTGGATTGGACTATGACTCTGGAGACCAGGGTTCGATTCCCCGTTCAGCCATAAAACCCACTGGGTGACCTTGGCCAAGTCATATACTCTCATCCTTAGGAGAAAGTAATGGCAAATGTCCTCTGAACATATCTTGCCAAGAAAATCCCATGATAGGTTTATCTTAGGGTCACCATAAGTCAGAAATGACTTGAAGGCATACAACAAGAAGAAGAATGTCCTTAGGCTGGGAGCACTTGGGACTCAGATTGATTCCAGCTGGCTTAGTGTTAGCTTAGCTGGTCTTTGGCCATCTTTGCTAGTTAGAACTGGACTCTTAGTACCATTTCCTTCAGGTTACTGGTGATATAAAATGCTAACAACAAAACACAGCCTCAACTTATCAGGTGCCTCTTTAGTGCAAAAAGTAAATTTATGGGTGAATAGGGTCTTCAGTGGATGCAGTGGCTCAAGTGGTTAAGACGCTGACTCTGTTGACTGCAAGATCTGTAGGTTGGCAGTTCAAGGCCCAGGTGCTGCATGATGGGGTGAGCTCCTGTCACTAATCCCAGCTTCTGCCAACCTAGCAGTTTGAAACCATGCAAATGTAAGTAGATAAATAGGTACCACTTCTCAGTGGGAAGGTAAACAGAGTTCTATGCAATCATGCTGGCCACATGATCACAGAGCAATCTCTGACAACACTGGCTCTTCGGCTTAGTAACGGAGATGAGCACCACCCCCTATGGTCGGACATGACTTGACAACCTTGTCAATGGGGAATACCTTTACCCCTACCTTTAGGGTCTTCAGTAATTTTCGTCATTCGAATATTCAAGTCCGTCCATGTACCTCTTTGATGCAAATGTTTGGGGAGAGGGTAGAATATAGAAATGGCACAGTTCAAAATCAATTAATCAGTATTATTGGCTTGAATATATTAATGACTGAAAAGACAAAGGCCCTATTCATAAATCTATTTTCAATCATATTTCACTCTTCTATCCTGTTGTCTTCTGAAAATAATTGCATTAAGTCTTGAAATATATTTGAGGCAGAAAATTGTAACAATGGTCTTCTTCCCTTATTTATTTTATTTTATTTATTTATATCCTGCCCCTTCCCCAAAACTGGGACTCAGGGCATCTTTCAATATCAAAAAACATTACAATTAAAAGCATACCAAAAAGGTACAGTAAAATAGAATTAAATTCTTACAATATTAAAACAAATTTCATGTTAAAAGAATAAAATACATTAAAAAGGTAAAAATATTTTAAACACTTTAAAACAATGTATCATCCTCGCCATTCTTTAAAAAATTTCTGTTTAAATGCCTGTCTGAACTGGAAGGTCAGCCCTTTCCTTTGAGATGTTGCCTTTCATGCAGTACATTAATTTTGAAAAGTGGGATCTCTTATGCATCCTCATTTTGTACACATTAACTCTCATCAGCTTTATATACTTGAGAAAAGCCATAACCGTATTAAATCAAGACAGGTCTAATGTGATATAGCTTATCTCTAGTCTTTTAGCTGTTCTTAAAGTAATACAGCTCTTTCACAGTAAATAGAAAACTTTGTTAACACCTGATGGTCATTTGTTAACACCTGGGAGCTATTGCTAACGGTAACTACTGTAAATATATACACTACATAGGTCATGCCCCTTTTCTTATGTTTTAAAAAAATCTGATATAGACAGTTTAACACACACACACACACACACATGTCACCACTATAGTAACAACAGTTAGTAGAAATTTAATGGTCTCTGTGGCACACAGCCTTAAAGATCAGCATTTTTTTTTAACAAACTGCAACAATTACTGGTAAATGAACAACTGTTCTCTGAACTTTAGTGACTTTCAAAACTTTGCTTTGTTCATCTCAAATCAACATGACACATTCATTTCCTCAAGCAACTATTGTGTGACACTTTTATATAATGAATATTCTCTATCTATTTGGTGCATGTGCCAATATCATCTATATGTCTGTGCCTGGCTTCCACTCCACCAAATGCATCTGAGGAAGTAGACTGAAGTCTACGAAAGCTCATGCTGCTATTTTCTTTTTCAGTTAGTCTCAAAGGTGCTATGCATAAGGTTATACAACATAGACTACGGGCCTCTACAGACGGCACTTTGCACCATCTTAGAGGCAGGGAGGGGAGGGGCAGCCGCACGTCATTACACACAGCACATGCCATCAGAACGTCCTCCCGGTGCAGTGTCTTGACACGCTGCGCCAGAAGGGATGCATAAGAGCCGCGCAGCGGCTCTTGGGGTGGCCTATTTGCCACCTCTGAAAGGAGCATCATTTTGGCACTCCTTTCCGAGGGGGCAAATGGGAGAATCGGGGATGACATGTCCATTTCCAAAGGCCGAAACTTCCTACGTTAGAGAATTCTGGCCATTGCTACAGATGTTAGTAATATGGTTGCCCTCCACATTCATGGGCACTGGGGCACAGGGGCACAGGACTCCCCCAAGTGGAAAAACCATGGATATCCATGCCATCACCTTCCTCAGCAGGGTCCTTTTAGAATGGCAAGAGGAAATGATGAGTGTTCTCATGGTGCTAGGTGGTTTGCTCACTGTCCCTGCCTCTTGTCCCTTCCTTGCTGTCTCTTTTTATGTGCCTGCTAGTCTTCTCTGCCTCTTCTTTTGCTCTCCTGTTCTCCCTCTCTGCCTCTTCCTTTGTGACCACTAGCCTTCCCTGCCTCTTCTTTGCCCCCCTTCCTCTATACCTGTCTCTCTCCCTACCAGCCTGTCCATCCTCCCTTCCTCTTTCTCCCATGGCCAGGACACACATGGCAGGAAAGAGTTCACTCTCTCTCTATTTTACTTTTGTCCCTTCTTCCTGTCCTCTCTGGACAAACCCATGGATAATCAAATATAGAAATATCAGACCCATGAATGAGGAGGGCCAACGGTATTTTGTTTCAGTCTATGTTGTAAATTGTCTTGTATCCCACTGTAGGATAAAGGCAAAATACAAAATAAATAAACATTCTCTTTTGCAAAGGTGAGCTGTAGGCAGCACTTTCTCCCCGACTCCTATAATCTCCCTGCACCTTCTCAGGTCATGATAAGCAATTTCATTGCACACTCCCAGCCTGCTTTAGGCTTGTAAGAGGCTGTTCTTAAAATCAGAACTGACTTGTGATCTCTTCCCATATGGTGGGGAAAAAGTTCTTCAATAGGACTAAAAAAGACCAGGAGGTGAGTGAGTACAAAATGATCAATTGCAATTTCAAACTATCTGTGGATTAAAGCCATCATAGCAGAAAGCCAGTATGGCATGGTCACAGTGATGTGTGTCCCTCTGGGGTCTGAGTGATGCAGCCTATGGAGCTCTGAGAAATTATTTTAATTAAATAATTTTGTATAATTGTTATCTTTTTAAGCACATCCAAATCATTTTCTTGCTTTGTTTCTAATCACAACTGCTCAGATAGTTCAGCAGCCATTCCCAAATGTTTCTGAGCTGGCAGTTTATTGGGCTTCTTTCAGAAGCAGGAATGAGGAATGCACTCAGAAGCCTTGCTGCATATTTGAAAGTTCTTGCCATGGCTGTACTGACAACTGAGTCAAAGCTCTTATTTGTTAAATTCGTTATGGAAACCACAAACTCATCATGGGATGGGAAACATACTTTGAAGGTTTTCTCTTTCATAACATTATGTGGGAAATGTTGATTTCATACAGCAACTTGTTTGAAAGAAATATCTAAAGCCAATTTTTTTCATTCAACTATTTACTTAAAAAAACAAAAACGACACAAAAACACACAGAAGCCTGGATATGAGCATCTTTAGAATCTGTTTGCTTTCAGGGTTCTAAAAAACTTAGAAAACTGGTCTTTTGAAACTTCAAAGTTCTGAATCATCAAAGATCCATAAAGTTGCAAGTCCCATGAAGTTGCTCATGTGTTCTAAAATGTAGAATGATTTGATATTTTTTTAAAAAAAAAAATGAAATCCCAATGTTTGTATTTCAAATATTTGGAGATTAATCTCAGACATTTTAATTTAATTTAATGTAAACATGGATGATTAGAGAAGGGTGGCTCCAATTCCCATTCTTATCCAGGAAAAGAACCGGCTTTCCACCCTATAGAGAGTATCCCTGTGCTCCATTGATTCCCCTGTAGGAATATAATTCTTTTCTAATGTTTCTTCTCAAAGGAAGCAACAAGTAATTTTAGATTTTTTTTCTTGCTGTGAGAAAGTCTTCCTTGCTGAGAGAAAAACTGTTTTCAAAGAGTATTAAGACTTATTCTAGATAAAGTTCACATGTGATTGTTTTGATTTATAGAAACCAGTATTTTCTTCACAAGAAAGAGCATCTTCTGCTTGAAAGAACAGAATTTTATCACATTTGAGAAAAAATGATTTAAAAATATGTTTCTTGAATGTTGAGAAATTCTGATAAGAAGAATTCTGAAGTGATAAGAATCTTCACAGTTTGGGCCTTATTATTTGCAAAATGTATACATGGTACTTTCTGATAATTTCTAATACTATGGGATGCATGGGGAGGCAGGTTTGCCAAGTGTATGCCAGCTCTAGGTGTCCCTACATGTTCTGTTAAGGCAAGGAAGGATTTGTCTGAATCCCCCACTACAGGCAGCAGCTTTCAACATTTTCAAAGCAAGATTTAAGGACCTTGTGCAACCAAAGCATGTGCTCAACCACTCATCTACAGTGCCTCCTGGGTAGGCTTACCATTTGTCCTGGAAAGCCAGGAAAATCCCGGATTGAAAAATGTCCCTCCACCAGCTGGTCTGGTTGAAGAAGCCACAACCTCGCAACCTTGTGATCTATGAGTGAGTGGCTGCAGTACAGGTTAAATGCCTGTACTGCAGCCACTCACTCATAGACCACAAGGTTGCGAGTTCAATACCAGCCAGGGCTGAGGCTCGACTCAAGCCTGCATCCTTCCGAGGTGGCTAAAATGAGTACCCAGATTGTTGGGGGGCAATCAGCTCACAGTTGTAAACCGCTTAGACATCCCATGCATGATATGAAGCGGTATATAAATGAAGCTGCTTTGCTTTGCAAACTAC